TCGATTATCTTAATATACAGAAGATCAGCTTAGTATACATTAAGTAAGGATTTCAACAGTTTGCTCCCACACAGAAACATAAAGTGAAAAATAATAGATGATTTTTTTAAATGATGATGAAATCAGATCAGACCTATTGTCATGTTTAATCCCAGTGAGAGTCAAGTTGGGAGTTGATAATTTCTTTTTTTTTTTTTTTTACTTTTTTTTTTTATTTTTTTTATCTTTTATTTAATGAATATAAATTTCCAAAGTACGACTCATGTGTTACAATGGCTTCCCCCCCCATACCGTCCCTCCCACCCACAACCCTCCCCTTTCCCACTCCCTCTCCCCTTCCATTCACATCAAGATTCATTTTCGATTATCTTAATATACAGAAGATCAGCTTAGTATACCTTAAGTAAGTATTTCAACAGTTTGCTCCCACACAGAAACATAAAGTGAAAAATAATAGATGATTTTTTTTAAATGATGATGAAATCAGATCAGACCTATTGTCATGTTTAATCCCAGTGAGAGTCAAGTTGGGAGTTGATAATTTCTTTTTTTTTTTTTTTTTTTTTTTTTTACAGAGGATCAGTTTAGTATACATTAAGTAAAGATTTCAACAGTTTGCACCCCCATAGAAACACAAAGTGAAATATACTGTTGAGTACTTGTTATAGCATTAAGTCTCAATGTACAGCACATTAAGGACAGAGATCCTACATGAGGAGTAAGTGCACAGTGACTCCTGTTGTTGACTTTACCAATTGACACTCCTGTCTATGGCATCAGTAATCTCCCTATGCTCTAGTCATGAGTTTCCAAGGCTATGGAAGCCCTCTGAGTTCTCTGATTCTTATCTTGTTTAGACAAGGTCATAGTCAAAGTGGAGGTTCTCTCCTCCCTTCAGAGAAAGGTACCTCCTTCTTTGAAGACCTGTCCTTTCCACTGGGATCTCACTCACAGAGATCTTTTGCCAGAGTGTCTTGGCTTTCCATGCCTGAAATACTCTCATGGGCTTTTCAGCCGGATCCGAATGCCTTTAGGGCTGATTCTGAGGCCAGAGTGCTATTTAGGACATCTGCCATTCTATGAGTCTGCTGAGTATCTCACTTCCCATGTTGGATCACTCTCCCCTTTATTTATTCCATCGGTTAGTGTTAGCAGGTACTAGACTTGTTTATGTGCTCCCTTTGACTCTTAGTCCTTTCATTATGATCAATTGTGAACTGAAATTGATCACTTGGACTGGTGAGATGGCATTGGTACATGCCACCTTGATGGGATTGAATTGGAATCCCCTGGTATGTTTTTAACTCTACCATTTGGGGCAAGTCAGCTTGAGCATGTCCCAAATTGTACATCTCTTCCCTCTCTTATTCCCACTCTTATGTTTAACAGGGATCACATTTCAGTTAATTTTCAACACTTAAGAATAACTGTGTAGTAAATGTGTTTTCATAATTGGTGTTACAGAAGACATTCTATTCAGTCAAAGCTCCTTTTTAAAAAAAGATATTTATTTGAGTTGCAGAGAGAGACAGAGAGAGGGAGAGAGACAGAGAGAGGGAGTGGTTTGCTATGTTCAGATAGATGATTAGGAGAGTAAAGGCTAAAGAATTATATTTTATAAGGTTTTATTTATTTATTAAAGATTTATTTATTTACTTGAAAGGCAGAGTTACAGAGAAGAAGAGGCAGAGGCAGAGAGAGAGAGAGAGAGAGAGAGAAACTTCCACACATTGATTTACTGATTAATGTCTACAATGGCCAAGACTGGGGCCAGGGTGAGACTGAGAGCTACAAACTCAGTTCAGGTCTCTCACATGAATGGCAGGGACCCAAATATTTGAGCCGTCACCTGCTGCCTTCAAGTGATATCATCTCTCTGTAATCCAAGATTAATATTTCAAGTGCTTGTCTCAAGCTGAGAGAAGCATCCTAAACTTAGACATAAGACAGGCAACAGCATATTTTAAAATTAATATTTCATGGGTCCTTGCCATTTATTTGGACAAGAATTCTAAATACTGGCTCAAATGAGGCAGACAACATAGTAAGGTTTAGAATTTATTTGGGGAAGTGAGAGAAATACACAGGAACGAGGGCTTTATTTAAGGGAGAGGGTGGTCAGAAAGACAAACTGGGAGTTGCATAACAGGCAGAGAGCAGATCAGGGGCCACATGCAGGCATCCACAGGCCGGAGCCACACAGAGAAACTGCGCGGGCAGGAGCTACCGCAAATATGAATGGCATGTTGGGGGAACAGGGAGGGAGAACCAGCCAAATGGCCACATGCCCAAGAGGCATATGGGAGAGTAATGAATGGTGGGCCCAGCACATTCCCCAGCCTCTTATGCACTTCAGGAAGGGGAGTGTTGGGGATGGCAGTGTGGTGCAGCAGGTTAAAGCCACTGCCTGAAGTGCAAGCATTCCATATGCATCCCATATGGGTGCTGGTTCGAGTCCCAGCTGCTCCACTTCCGATACAGTTCTCTGCTATGACCTGGGAAAGCAGTAGAAGATGGTTCAAGTCCTTGGGCCCCTGCACCTACATGTGAGACCCAGAAGCAGCTCCTGGTTCCTGACTTCGGATCAGCTCAGCTCTGGCCATTGGGACCATTTGGGGAGTGAACCAGTGGATGGAAGACTTCTCTCTCTCTCTCTCCCTCCCTCCCTCCCTCTGTTATTCTGTCCTTCAAATAAGTAAAAATAAATCTTAAAAAAAAAAAGGGAGGAGTGGTTATGTCTGATTGGCAGGTGGGTGGATACAGGTGAGATCAAGTAGGGGGTGTGGCCTCCAGCTCATGAATCTGATTAATTTAATCCTATCTGCTCATATCACAAGGGTACACATTAGCAAGAAGTTGAAATCACGAACAGAACCAGGACTGGAATCCAGACACTCAGACACAGAATGAAGTTGTCCCAACTGGTGGCTTACCCACGAGGCTTAACACCCACCCTAGAAGGGAAAGCTCTTTATGCTTTATAATATTGTGAGAGTATTGTGAATTATAAAAATGAGTGTGCTATATGATTATCATCATAAGATGATGCAAGGGAACTTATTCATAGAAAGACGTTCAGGAGTGATACAATCCGGTGGATTTTGAACTTTGCACTGCAGAACCCTACAGTGCCAGGAGATGCTTCAGGATTCAACCTGAGGGTTGAGGGTCCAACTGTTGAATTTTCTTGACAACCACCCCTTAACAACTGTCCATGTCTATGGGGGACAGTGTGATGGTTCTGTACGTATGTACATTGTGTATTAGTCCACTCAGGATACTTAGATTATCTGTCATCTCAAACATTTATCAATGCCCTATTTTTATCTGCTCTATGTATGGACATTCAGTATAAGATTTGTTTGAGGGAAATATCCATACGCTGATTTTAAAATATTTATCTCAGGATGTTTTTCTTTCTTTTTTTTTTTTTTCTTTAATCACTCAAGTCCCAGGTGATCTATTAGCAGGAAGTCCAATTTCCTCAAGAGTAATTTTCTGTTCTTTGTTTTGCTGATACGCACTTTCTGATTTTCCTATAATGCAAAGTATTGCTTTTGTAATAAGAATGAAAGATATTTTGATTACAAAAATACAAATGAGAAGTAAGCAACATTAAATTCTCTTGACAGTGACATTTAAAGACACTCAGCCAGGAGAACGCCCCGGCGCAGGGAGCTGCACCAGAGGACAGCGGTTTATCTGTGTGCTTGCATCCGTGGCTTACTTATTTCCGTGGTAGCCACTGCGGCCAACTGAACACATGTGGGTTGACTTTTTCTGTTGAATATGCTTTCTTATTATCTTGTAAATTAAATTTTTGCCCTAGTTGGCTGTATAAGATAAATGATTGGGAGAATTTGAACCCAACTGGAGAGCAGAACAACATGAGCAAAGCAAAAATAAGAAAAAGATTATTTAAAAATTCCACTGCAAATAATTATACTCCTGAACTGGCAAGCAAAGTCACAGACAGTTATCGTGATGAATTTTTTTTTGAGTTCAGGCAATAGATGGCTGTCCTGTTGAATCTTGTTCTCTATTGTTTACTTAATGAGAAATTATCAGTAAACTTAACTGGCCTTATCTTAAATTTAATGACTCCTCTGGTCTTTTAGGTTGTTAGTAAAACACTGATCCATGCTCAGCTTTTAGGGGTGATAATGAGACAAGTAAGCTTACTGAGGTGGCTGAAGTAATTCTATTTAATTTTAAAATGTTGATCTTTTGACTTCCTGCCACTAGTTTATATAACCCTCCTGCCAAGTTAAAAGTTTTCTTCATTTTTTCCATGATTATTAACAAGGAACTGAACTCCTTAAATCTAAGATTAAACATCTATTAAGTGTAATATAATGGTGTGAGCACTGGACTCAGTGTGTTTTAAGCCTGAAAACAGGCCAGAAGGAATCTGACCCTGACTCTGTTTAAGTGCATGCTTAACCAATCTTAGCACTTTCCCTAATTAAAATGAATCATAGACCTTGAACTTCATTTAGTACAGGGTATGAAAGGATGTCAACCTTTTAGGGAAAATTTATCTAAAGTTTACTTTTCCTTTTTTTAAAACCAAATTTATTACTTGAAATGCAGAGTGACAGAATGAGAGAGAGAGAGAGAGAGAGAGAGAGAGAGAGAGAGAGAAATCTTCAATCTGCTGACTCAGTTCCCCGGTTGGACCAGGCTGAAGCCAGGAGCCAGTAGCTCCATCTGGATCTCACACATGGGTGGCCTAGGTACTTGGGTCATCTTATGCTGCCTCTCTGGGGGCACATTAGCAGGAAGCTCGATCAGAAACAGAGAGCTGGGACTTGAACTAGCACTGAGATATGGGATGAGGGTGCCCCAAGCAGCAGCTTAACCTGCTGTGTCATAATGCTGGCCCTTTCTTTTTTCTGTTGAAAAATGTGTCCTTCCTTCCTTCCTTCCTTCCTCCCTCCCCCCCTCCCTCCCTCCCTCTCTCTCTCTTTCTTTCTTTTTGTCCTGATGTAGATCCTATATTCTGATTTACCACAGAAGCCAATTGTGGGAACGATACAGAGAAGATTAGCATGGCCCCTGCACAAGGATGACACGCAAATTCGTGAAGCGTTCCACATTTTTTGAAAATGAAACGTGATGAAGGGCGGGACAGGAGAGGGAGTGGGAGAGGGGAGGGCCACGGGAGGGAGGGAGGTTGGGGGGGGGAAGCCACAACAATACAAAAGTTGCATTTTATATTCTACTTAAAACTATTGGTTGAACTCTAATTCATACACACTTACTCTTAGGTGTTTAATTAATGCTATAACTAGTACTCAAATAGTATTTTACACTTTGTGTTTCTGTGTGGGAGCAAAATGTGGAAATCTTTACTTAATATACGCTAAATTGATCTGTATATAAAGATAATTGAAAATTAATCTTGATGTGAAGGGAAGGGGAGAGGGAGTGGGAGAGGGGAGCGTTGGGGGTGGGAGGGAAGTTATGGGGGGGAGGAAGCTATTGTAATCCATAAGCTGTACTTTGGAAATTTATGCTCATTAAATAAAAAAAAAAAGAAGCCAATTGTGTTAGTTAGGGTTCCCCAGAGAAGCAGATTCAACAGGACGTGTACTTGAGGCTATTTCTAAATTTGGCCTAGCACTGAAGATACTGAGTAGGATGCCCGTATTCCACGTCAGAGGATCTTGGTTTGGCTCCTGATTCCTGCTTCCCTGCAGTGCAGCAGATCCTAGGAATCAGTGGTGAGGGCTTCAGTGATTGGGTTTCCGCCCTTCCAAGAGAGACCTGGATTGAGTTCCTGGCTCCTGGCTTCCCACACTCAGCAGCTGCATGTGTTTGGGACGTGGGCCAGTGAATAGAAGCTCTGTCTGTGTGTCTCTTTCTGTCTCTCTGCCTACCAAAGACACACAGTTTATTTTTTTTTTGTTTGTGGAAAAATGGGATTAAAAGATAAATTTACTTTGTTGCAAAATAATTGAAATCTTTGACTGTTTATGAATACACATTTCCATGAACTTTTGGAAGACCCCTTGTATATGAATATATAAGAGGGAATTTATGGTGGCTGAGAAGTCGCCTGATGTATTGTCTAAAACAGGAAAGCCTGCAAAGCCAGTGGTACAATGTAGTCTCAGTTTGAAAGTGTGCATACCAAGGGAGCCCATGGTGTAACTGTCAGTCTGAGCTCCAAGTCTGAGAACCAGGGGAAACCTGAGGCAGGGGATGGACGGCACATGCCAGCTCCAGAAGGGACACTGCGTTTGCTCTTTCTCTACCACTTTGTTCTATCTGAGTCCTCGACAGTTTGGATGGTGAAGGCATCTTACATTGGTGAGGGCAGATCTTCTCTAGTCACTGCACTGAATCAGACATTAGGGACCAGCACTGTGGCATAGTAGCCTAAGCCTCTGCCCGTAACCCATATGGGTGCCAGTTGGTTTCCTAGCTGCTTCTCTTCTGATCCAGATCCCTACTAATGGCCTAGGAAAGCAGTGGAGGATGGCCCAAGTCCTTGGGCTCCTCCACCCATGTGGAGACCTGTAGGAAGCTCCTGGCTCCTGGCTTTGGCTTGGGCCAGCTCCAGCCATTGTGGCCATTTGGGGAGTGAACCAGCAGATGGAAGAGTCTCTCTCGTAACTCTGACTCTCAAATAAATAATTTTTTTTTAAGATCACATCTAAAAAGAAAACAATAAACAAACATTAATGACAGACACACTCAGCTGCCTGGCAGTCTCTTATCTGCATCACGTTAATGCATTAACGTAATTATCACAGCAATTCAATTGAATATCATTTATTCATTCATCAAGCATAATGCATGCCATGTACTGCATATGAAAACTGGCAGTGAGGTACAAGGCTAAAGCCACAGCTTTGGCTCTCAAGAAGCTCACACAGAAGTCTGAGCAGTGCAGTGATAAGGCAGATTAGAATGGGAAGGGTGGAAGGAGCGGGTTCAGGTAAGGCTTCCTCAACAAAGCCTGTGCCAGTGTTCATCACACCTGAATGGTAAAAGCATTTCAAAATCAACCCACTGAAGACTGAACGCATCATCTTGCTCCCCAAATCTGTCTTCCTGTTTTTTCTCTGGGGAGTCAACACCTTTTGTCACCTCCCCTCTAATCATCTAAGAAAGAAACCAAGATGTTGTCCCAGATTCCCTTTTTGTCCCTGACCTTCCTTTTTTCCTGTTTTTTAAAAATAATTTATTTTTATTTATTTGAAAGGGGAGAGAGAGAGAGAGCAAGATCTTCCCTCTGCTTCCTCAAAAGGTTGCCAGACTGAAGCCAGGAGCCCCAAACTCCATCTGGTACTCTCATGTAAGTGGCAGTGGCCCAGGTACTTGAGCCGTCCTCCACTGCTTTCCCAGGCACATTAGCAGAGAGCTGGGTTGGGAGTGGAGCAGCCAGGACTCCAGTCAGTGCTTCAATGTGAGATGCCAGGTTCCTATTGCTGGGCTCACCCTGGCCTTCTTCTTCTTTTTAAGATTTACTTATTTATTTATTAAGATTTATTTACTTATTTGAAAGGCAGAGTTATAGAAAGAGGGAGATAGAGATAGAGAGAGAGATAGAGAGAGAGAGAGAGAATCTTCCATCCACTGATTCACTCCCCAAAGGCCACAATGGCTGCAGCTGGGCTGATCTGAAGCCAGGGGCCAGGAGCTTCTTCCGGGCCTTCCATGTGGGTGCAGGGGCACAAGAATTTGGGCCATCCTCTGCTGCTTTCCGAGGCATGTGAGCAGAGAGCTAGATAGGAAATGGAGCAGTTGGGTCTTGAACCAGCATCCATATGGGATGCTGGGGTCACAGGTAGAGGTTTAACTTACTATATTACAACACCAGCCCCCCTGACCTTTTTAAGAATCTGGAGCCATCGTAGTGGACAGAGGATAGTGTCCCTGGATCTTGGGCTCATTTGATGCAGGAAGGGTTTTTCCCATGACAGCATAGTGAGGTGGAGAAATAGACTGTGTAGGAAGTCGAGTTACCGCTAGAAAAACAGGATTGATCACTGAGGCAGAGATGCTACGCAATGACAATCTGGAAACCAGATCAAGGTTTGTAGTTGGGAGATTTGAAACCAAGACAGCGTAAGCAGTAATACAAGATTGAGAAGGCTGGATCAGAAGTAAGGTACTTACGGTACCTGGGTGGTGGTTTTTCTTTTAAGTAGAGGCAAATTATGTTGCTGAGTAACATGGTGATGTAAATGGCATATCTACATCCTTACTAGTGGTGTGGAAAAGAACTGGAGTGAGTGGCTATGAACACAAAAAGTTTATTAAGAGTTGTGTATCTTCTCTGGCCTCAGAATCAGCCCTTAAGGCATTCAGATCTGGCTAAAAAGCCCATGAGAGCATTTCAGGCATGGAAAGCTGAGACACTGTGGCAAAAAGTGTTCTACATGAAGGATCTCTGTGAGTGAGATCCCGGTGGAAAGAATGGGCCATCAGAGAAGGAGGTACGGGCCATCAAAGAAGGAGGTACCTTTCTCTGAAGGGAGGAGAGAACTTCCACTTTGCTTATGGCCCTGTCTAAATACTGATGGAGTTTGTGAACTCAAGAGGCTTCCATAGCCTTGGCAGTTCATGACCAGAGCCTCAAGTGATCTCTGACGTCATAAAAAAGAGTGTCAATTGTTAAATTAATAACAGGAATCACTGTGCACTTACTCCCATGTAGGACCTCTGTCCTTAATGAGTTGTACTATGAGAATTAACAGTAAAACTTGTCTTAAAACAGTACTTCATACTTCGTGTGTCTGTGTGGGTACAAACTGTTGAAATCTTTACTTATTGTAGAGTTGATCTTCTGTATATAAAGATAATTAAAATATGAATCTTAATGAAGAATGGGATGGGAGAAGGAGTAGGAGATGAGACGAGAGTGGGAGTGGGAGGGTGGGTATGGGGGGAAGAACCTCTATATTCCTAAAGCTGTACCTATGATTTTTATATTTATTAAATAAGAGCTTTCTTTC